GAGCGAGCGTTCGCCATGAACGGAGGAGAGAAACGAGGGAGCGTTCGCCATGAACGGAGGAGAGAAACGAGGGAGCGTTCGCCATGAACGGAGGAGCGAAACGAGGGAGCGTTCGCCATGAACGGAGGAGAGAAACGAGCGAGCGTTCGCCATGAACGGAGGAGAGAAACGAGAGAGCGTTCGCCATGAACGGAGGAGCGAAACGAGCGAGCGTTCGCCATGAACGGAGGAGGTTTGCCATGAACGGAGGAGCGAAACGAGCGAGCGTTCGCCATGAACGGAGGACCGTTCGCCTTGAACGGAGGAGCGTTCGCCATAAACAGAGGAGCGAAGCGAGCGAGCGTTCGCCATGAACTGAGGAGCGCAACAAGCGAGCGTTCGCCTTGAACGGAGGAGCGTTCGCCATAAACAGAGGAGCGAAGCCAGCGAGCGTTCGCCATGAACGGAGGAGAGAAACGAGCGAGCGTTTTGACAAATTTTTGAGAAAAATCTGCAATAAACTCCCAATTATGTATTAGCACAAAAAAGTGAAGGGTTTGTTGATTTTGTGTGAATTTCCACGATAATTATCAAGAAACCGATTGATATAACTTGGCAGTAAACTGATGAAAACTACATTAAGCAGATTTAGTGTTTAGTCTAGGACCCAGAGGGCCACATAAAAAGGTCTGGCGGGCCGGATTTGGCCCACGGGCCTCGAGTTTGACACATGTACAATAAGTGGTTCATCTGAGGAAAGTCAAATTAAAAATCAGGACGATATCCAACGGCGTTCCTCAGGGATGTTTCTTTAGTCCCTGATTCATTTGATCATTTTAGAAACAACTTATCCTGTGTTTTGTTTTCATTGTGGCTACAGAAAGAGTAATTTAATATAAATACTTGTGATGACGATCACTTCAGCCTCTGATCTTGTTGAAAATGTCTACATCTTAAATAACAATAGTTTTTTCAATTTTTCTGGATTTTTGTGTTTATTCCCAGTTATGGGTTTCTCCTTCTTCAGACTTTAAAGTCAAAGTCTGCTCTGGAGTAAAAGCCACTGAATGTTTCTGGTTCTGTTTACTATGAAATGTTATTAAATGGCTGCCTCCATAATTAGGAAACTTTCATTTGTATCTTTTTTGAAAGGCAGTGATCATTTTACTGAAATATTTTTTTTAGCCTCATCAACCTCAAATCAAACCTGGAGCTGGAAAAACAAGTTTGGGTCATTTTTGTTTTGTGGTCGAAGGCCAGATAAAATCAGTTTGTGGACCACAAATGGCCCACGCGCCGCACCTTGGACTCCCCTTTGAAAGAAACACGCAGAAAAGAAACATGCATGAATACATGTCTGTCATGTTCCTTAACAAAAAGTGGCTTATTTAAAAGGTTAAATAAAATCCAGTTACTTTTTCAATGCAGACAGTTTTGTGTAAAATAAATCCACACAACAGATGAAAATCATCAGAGCTGCTGCAAACGGCTTTCTGTGGCCGAACGAAACCCATCAAACTCCATTTCCTCTGAAATCACCCTGAGAGCCTCTTCGCCAATAGAGGGCAGAGTTTGCCTCTGTATCCAGGCAGGATTGAATGGAGAGAGAGAGAGAAAGAGAGAGAGATAGAGAGAAAGAGAAAGAGAGAGAGATAGAGAGAGAGAGAGAAAGAGAGAGAGAGAGAGAGAGAGAGAGAGAGAGAAAGAGAGAGAGAAAGAGAGAGAGATAGAGAGAGAGAGAGAAAGAGAGAGAGATAGAGAGAGAGAGAGAAAGAGAGAGAGAGAGAGACGGGGTCTTACTTGCAGTCTCGGTCCTCCAGGTCAAAATGCGGGTTGAAGTTGATGAGGATTTTTTGGCCGGGCTCCGGTGCCGTTATGACCCACACGCAGAGCTGGGAGGGCGGGTAGGCGCCGGGGTAACCCGGGGAGGTCAGGTAGTTCGCCGAGTGGATGGTGATCTCTCCGCCGCATCTATCTGCACCACAAAGGGAGGCGGGAAGTGATTACAAAGGATTTAAAAAATGAAGCACAATCCAGAAAGAAAGTGGCGGTTTAATGGTGACGGGGCTCTTCACTCAGGGTGCAGCTCTATCAGGGGGCAGCACCAGCACCACATGACTTTTCTATTCAAGCCAATTTGTAGTGAGCTGCCTCCTGAGTGTAAACAGCCAGAAAACATGAAGAACAATGCATGGATTACAGGGCGGTTTCACTGTTTTAAATGACAAAATCTGGAAATCAAACTCTTTAAAACACAGTTTGAAATTTAAAAAATGCTTATTCTTTTCACATTTGGACTAACTGGTTAAAAGAAGCAGAAAAACAATCTGGAGTGGGTGATGATTCTGCTGTAGTTCTGGATAAATTAACCATTTAAATAATTACATAATAACAGTTTTCTCCACTCTTTTCTCCGACCTTTAACATCTTGGACTCAACCATGTGTGTCTCCATCCAACAGGCTGAATATTTAACCGGCATGTAACTGAGAGGGCGCAGGAGGGGTCGCCCAATGCGCCCTTTTCTTCCAAGAAGTGCCGCCGAACTGACGCATAAAACGTTTTCCAACTTTCCTGCCGGGTATTTCGGAGAAAATGTGCGACACAAAGTGAAGCCGCGTCGCATCCGCGCCATAAGGTGTGATCGCGCTCTTCAAGGTGAGGAGCAGCAAAACGAGATTAAATTTAATTTTCTCTCGGAAAGGTTTATGAAATTGCTTGTTGCCTGGAGATCATGCTTCAGCGCGCAGCAGCGGGTTTGGATGGAAATAAAACTAAAATCTTTAGATACCTATACAATTTTAAATCATTCTCACTTCATTATTAAGATTTTATTTCTTCACTTTTGTTTCATCCTACGCCTGTTTGGTTTTTGTTTTCCCCCTCATCTGTGAATAAATTAAAAGCAAATCGATTCTGGTTCAGCTGCAGAAAAGCCAACAATGCAGATAACAACATGCAAAAAAGAAAAACGGGTCAATAATAAATGCTGTAATGTCAACCTACCAATGTAAGTGAGCGGAGACACCGAGATTATTTGGGTGAAAAGGAACAATAGAAATCCACAGCGCATCCTTAGATTATGGCACCACATCGATAACAACATAAACCAACCAAAAACAAGACCAAAGAAGAAGAGGGGAGACTCAGAAATAACGGATATTCTCTCAGAGTAAGGGATCTGGTGGTTGTAGAGTCCCCAGCATCCTGCGTTTCACAGGCAACAACTTGGCATCTCCTGGAAGAAAATAATCCAAACGCAAAAAAAAAAATAAAAAAATCAAGAAGCAAAAAACAAAATCCAGTGGCAAAAAGTGGCACCGCTGCGCTCCCGATCTGACACCCGGCAGGAATGATTCACATACTTCCAAAAGGAGGAATAAATAAAAAAAAATAACGCCACAAAAATCAGTGTTCAGCCGAAAAATACCCCGGAGCTCTCCTGGTGTGGACTCCGTGTGGTACGAGTCCAGCTTGTCTCTCTGCGTGTCTGCTCGCAGCTGAACTGTCAGGAACACACGCAGCCTGGCTGTGAGGAGGCAGAAACGGCGGAATTTCCACTCCCCCAAATAATAATGATAAGAAAAATCCCTGCTCCGAGACAACAGCAACAAGCGACCGCTGCAGAGGAGGGCTGGAGCAAACTGACACCGGTGCGCCCTCTGTGCGCTCCCGACGCGCGTGTGCGGGGCTGGAGGAGGAAGAGGAGGAGGAAGAGGAGGTGGTCCACGCAAACTCATGATGGCATGCGGCTCCGTGACACAATCAGATATGGACAGTAAGATTGAAGCAGATGAATCTGTTCCCGCTGAAAGGACACGCAGGCCTGTTGTCACGATGATCACATTAAATGCTCGTTTAAATCCTTTGTAAATGTCAGCAAAAGTTGTTCTGCAAGGAGTTTAGGATAGTTTTGGTTTTAAATGAACATGTTTTCGATGACAGCACTAGGACGGAGTATTGGGGCAATAAAAAACAATATTAGTCATAAAATTACGGGAATAAAGACATAATTTACGAATAAGTCATAATATTGCGAGAATAAAGTATTACGAGAATGAAATGGAATAAACTCGTAGGAGAAGAGCCATAAAAATGTCGTAAAATTACAACAATAAAGTCTTAGGCTACAAGAATAAGTCATAAATTACTGAATAAAATCATAACGTTGCGTGAATAAAGTATTACCAGAATAAAGTCGTAATATTTTTGACTTTATTATCGTACAAATTTATTCTTGTAAAATTATTACTGTTTTATTTATTAGTCTCTGTTGTAGATCTGCCATTTCGATCATTCAGCGATTTTTGTAAATGTACTCACGAAATTTGGCCCCAGTTTAGTTAAGCTGCTATTAGCGCAGCGAAGCGGTGAAACGGAAGTGCGCTCAAACACCGGAAGTTTGCTCCGTATTTACTTCCGCGTTCGAAAATAGGTAGCCAACTTATTTTCAAGAGCTACTTTTAATCTGACATTTCCTATCCTCATGAGTCTTTAATTTTATCCGTTTGTGGTATTTTTTGTAATACCTCCATTGCAAAAATTTTTACAAGCTAGTGTTGGCGCAGAAGCACAGCAGCCACCAGTTTGCCTTTTATTGATTACTGTGTCAGATATTTAGTACTGTTGCTATCAACGTTCGTTTAATACCTTCAGTTTTTATGGAATATGATAAAAGTCCTGTTGACAAAATAATCTGACATAAATGTCATTATATATTATCTAAAACTAGTTTCTTTCCATTTACTACATAAAAGAGTTTCTCATCCACTTCCTGTATGCCATTTTTTTCCATCAGATTACTAAAAAGCAGCGGCGAAACCTGAAAAGGAGATTAACGGTTTGTCATATTAGCTGACAAACTTCTGCAATCTGGGTCAAACCAAACCTCCCATTTCCATTCATTTTTATTGTCAGTAATGCAAAAGACTGAGAATAAAATGAGCAAAATGAAAGCCGTAAACAATGGCTGTATTTTTTATTCATGACCTCAGTTTGACTAAAATCCCCTCTGCCTGGTAAACACAAGACTGCAGCGCCTCAAATTAACAAAAGCTTCCTTGTTCAGCGCATCTTTAAAGCCAAATAAAGATAAAATTGTGACTATTGAACACTTTTTTAATCTTGTAAATTGCGATTTGGTGTCATTTCTTTAAGCTAGGCTGGTCAACCTTCAAGTCTGTTTGTGTTTTGCGAGTAAGAGCTGTTCACTTTCAGTTCGCCCGTTAATCTCTGCAACAGTTGCTCAGATTAAGGTCAACATCTCAGAGGATTTATACTTCTACAATAAAAGTAAAATAAAACTAGTAAATTACTTTCTAATTTAAACAGTAGCCAAACACACACACAGTGAGCATTTTCAGCTCAGTAAGCTGGATATTTACCAAATAAAAGCAGTGAGAACAACAGGAGCAGAGTTTTACCTTCAGGCAAGCAGCTGGGCTATAAAAATTTAACACTTAAAAAAAACACAGATGAGAAAACACACTGTCACATCGAATACAGACACATAAAAATATCAGCACACCGCTTCTCCAAAAACAGAAAATGAATAAAGATAGATTCTTTTAAATATTTAAATTGGGATCACTGTACTTTAATCTTTAAATATATTAGCAGTTTCACCTTTTTTGGTAATAATTATGGCTTATAAACCACACTGAGATGAGATCAGCTGTAAAACTTTCCTTTTAAGATCTATTTTGACTAGTGAGATGATTTATACGCAGCAATTGTATTTTAATGCAGCTTAGTTTATGCAAACTTTTCTATTTACAAGAAGGTCTGTGCTAACACATAATGAAAACCTAAAATTTAGTTTGTTGGAAAATAAGCGTTAGAAATAAACACTGCAAGTAAAGAAGTGCAATTTTTTAAATTGAATTACTGTAATAAATTGACCTTTTATTTTACAAAGTAGCATGTCTCCCAGAGAGGTTATAAAGCAGTATGTGTGCCACTGGGCTAATCAGACTGTCAGAAAAGTTGATGTTAGATTTATTTCTATGTAATATTTAAAAACGGCAGCAGCAGCAGCAACTGACAAAAGTATCTAATTAACACCAACCATCATAACAAAAACAAAGACTAAAACAATAAAATAAAACATAAAGATATTTAATAGCAAACAGAAAACAAGTTGAGTAAATAAATCACATAAAACAGCAACTCAAGCTGCATTAGAAGCATAAAGTGTCTTATGGGACCAACAGCCTTTAGACGTGTGGCGGCCATCTTGGATACTGAACTCAGCGTCTGACTGCATTTCCAAACATTTCCAAATAAATGTTTGGAAGTCCAAACATTTATCCCTAAAACTTGCTTTATTCCCACCTTCCCTCATTCCTTTTAAATGACACAACATGGCATCATGGTCTGATGCTGAACTGGGATAAAAAATAGAGCAAAAAAGCTGCAAAAACTCAAAAAGGAAAACTTTAAAGGGGCAGTGTTATGTCTTTTCCAGGCACATAGAGCCATTTTATAGCACAATTAAATAACAAAGTTACCTTCAGTTTGTATCAACATGCTCCATTTAAAATATGACTTTAAAGAAATTTGATTTTATAATGTAATATTTTGAAATTGGGCCTCTGTTTCTTTAAGAAACTCCTGCTCATTCTGAAACTCCGCCTTCAGGAAGTCGTCACAACATGGCTCCTCTGTTAACCCTTTAACAACATTTATACCAGCTTAGCCCTGAGAAGCAGCTCCTATAATGAGCTCAGCAGATGTGCAGTTCCACCAGGTGGTTGCTAATTGCTGCTGGCTAGTCTGAAGGAGCTGGGTGGGGGAGCACCTGCGCCTCGAAGGTGGGGCTAGGTCTACCCAGGCGTTTTGCACAGCTGAATGGTTGCCATGGAGATTAAAGGATTTCTCAAACATAAATGAAAGAATCAAAGCAACACTCCAGGTATGTTCTTTGTCAGGGAATAATATTATTAAATGATGTAAAGTAAAAAAAAAAAAGAAGTACTCCTTTAAAAAACAGCAAACCAACTTCAAAGAAAGTAAGACAACGCCTTGTTCTAAGGAAGAGAAATATAAAAAATGAGGGATGCACCACATAAACCAAACGGGATAACCACAAAAAGAGAGAATTATGAAGAGGATGACTGGAGATGAAAGCGCCGCAAAGACCAACCAATGAGCCGCTAACTTTCCCCAGCAACTCGCTAACTATCCTCTCAAACAGTTTGTATTACGATCCGAAAATCCCAACAGACTTTAATGCTTCCGCTCAAATGTGACTCAGAATCCAGTATTGGTCCGCAGATTATTTCTCCACACAGTGGAAGACGATATAAAAACGGTTGGCAGCGACGCACGCCCCCCCGACTCTGCCAAACATGACAGCGGAGCCATCAGTCACTAAGTCAGTGTTATTTCTGCAAAGCCAGAACAGAACTTCAGCTTTTCAAGACTGATTACTACTATTTGCCTTTCTGTTGACGGATCATATTTTTGTTATCGGCATCTTGACATTTTCACATTTCATGCAAAGCACTACCATTAATTCGCAGTCATTAAACAGCCTGATAAATTACTCTATGTTTACGATCATTAATCACCAGAAGTTTGTTTTGTTTGCTCTTCTTTTTTAGGTCAGAGTGGAAAATATTAGGATGGAAACAGATGTTGAGTCAAATTCAACGTCTCTGTTGAAAGATGTTTTTGACTTTAATGGGACTTCCTGGTTTAATTTACATATTTATTTTTGACTCAATAGGAAACATTTTCAATCAGAAAACTGAGTTTATGACAGAATCAGTTGGAAAAATGTGTGAATTTAAAAGACTTTTCTTGAGGTGACAAGTTGTTAATGAGCGCAGCATGTCAGTCTTTACTTGGGATGAAACAGCAGAAAAACATTTTTATCGCATCTTCTGGTGCCTGTAGTTGTGCTTCCAGGACAAATGTTCGGAAAACTTTGTTATTCCGCGAATGTCAAAAAAAAAAAAAAAAAAAAAAATTTTACAATACCGTTGTTTCCATACAATAAGAAACACAATTAAAATTAAAGTTTGTTTATGTGATAAGTCATTAAAAAACTGACCCTACAACCACTTCCTGTTGTCTTCTTCGTGGTTTGTGCCAGTGACAACATCCAGCTTAAATATGGCCAAAAAAAACATCTTATCCTAATGCCAAAACTTTTAAATCAATAAGCAAGAGTTTTCAAAATTGCTGTTTCCATTAACGCATTTTCCAGGCACATAGTGACATTTTATAACACAATTAAGTATCTATCTTACATTCAGTTGGCATAAAAACGTTACAAATATCAGATATGCGTTAAAATAAATTTATCTTTGTAATTTAATGCCTGAAAATTGGGTCTATGTCTCTTTAAAAACTCCTGCTCTTTCTGAAACGCCGCCTCCTCCATTAACCCTTTAACAGCATTTTTACCAGCGTTTCACTGAGAAGTAGCTCCGTTAATGAGATCAGTAGTTCCACCAGGTGTTTGCTAATTGCTGCTGGCTAGTCTGAAGGAGCTGATTGGGGGAGGAGCTGCGCCTCGAAGGCGGGGCTAGGCTCATCCAGGCGTTTTGCACAGCTGAATGGTTGCCATGGAGACTAAAGGATTTCTCAAGGTGTGTTTTTGACGAGGGAGTAACATTATTTAATGATGTAAAGTTAAAAAAAATGTCATAACATATAAAATTTTTTAAAATGTCAT